TTTGGCTCAATTGGTTAAAAATTAAGCCTAAACTTTGATCAACAAACTCAGAGTGTATTTTTCATTCACCTTCAGCCCATGGAGTTGACAGTATAACAGTAAAGTCAAGAATAGATTCATTGGTTAAAAGTTTTGTAGCTTTTCCTTGGCAGACGGTAAGTCCTTTTCTTTTTCCTCTGGGTGTACCACCGGAGAAAATGATCATTGGATCTCTGGAAATGAAATGAAATTTAAAATCATTGTGAAAGGATGTAAAGGAGTGAAGTACAAAGAGAATGACTATTGGCTGAACAAGAATTAAATGTATGGGATTTGAAAGAATATAAATTGACTAAATGGGAACTCCATGAATGAGAAAAGAATGAATGAGAATTAGATGTTTGTGAGCTGAATGCATAGGAATTACAAATTTGATGAATGGCAATTGGCCAAATGGAAACTGAATAAATCAGAAATTAATGAATGAGAATTAAATGTGTGGGAGTTAAATGCATGGGAATTGGAAATCAAAAAGGAATGAGAAATGATCAAAAACTGAATGAATGGGATTACAACTTTTTGCTTACCCAGATGAAGTTGCCAACCATTTGATCTTAGATATAGGAGCACAAGGTCTGTCTTTGCCAGATTTTCCTAAGGGGCAATTAAGCTCTATTCAGCTTTAAAAGTTTTATAGTTTTATTTGTATGTCAGGGTTCTTAGTAGAAATGAAAAAGTAGACGTCAAAATAGGAAAAGTAACCGTCAAAATAGGAAATGTACAGCCAAATAATTTGCAGATAAATTCGTAAGTAGCCGGCAATTAACTAAGCTATAACTGGCAATTTTCGCTGGCTGCCGGCTTCTGGATGTAAGATGACATAATGGCAAAACATGMCAAAAATCATGACAAAACATCATCATGAGCAATGAGCAGCCACCATTTTGTAGAAMAGTCTTCTGTTCTCACCATTAGCGTGAGGTGACAATATTTCAGCAGGTTTATCTGGYGTGCATTTTGTATTCCATACACTTAACGTGCCGTCTGTGTGTGCACACATGAATTGCTTGCCATCATTCAACCAATGCAAAGATGTCAGTGATCTCTGGTAACAAAAAAATAATAATTAATTTACGCCAAATCTCTGCTCTCATAGCAGACAGGAAAGCTTTACAAGAGCCTGCCCTTTTTCCTTCCATAAAGACACTGTATTCATGCCTCCCAATAGGCAGGAAGCTTGACCAATTATGGACATTTTTTTGCTTTTCTGAGGTTGTTAGCTTGCAGGTGATTCAACTGTACATGTATTTTATATCAATCAATTCAATTTTTGTTGCAATTTTGATAGTGATTTTTGGCATGGACAAAGGTAACCTTTTAAAAATAGAATATATATGAAAATAAAATAATTTTATGCACACCTGTGGACAACTAAACCGCTGCTCTGCACTCTTACTTCGTAATGACCAAATAACAATAGTACCAGACTCATAGCCAAGTAAAATCTGTTAAACATGTACACATACAATCAATCAATGAACAAATAAATGGATAAACAAATGAATGGATGAAATAAATGGATAAACAAATGAATGGATGAGCAAATGAATTGATGAAAAAATGAATGGATGAAAAAATGAATGAATGAAAAAATGAATATATGAAAAAATAAATGGATGAACAAACTTAAAAGGATGAACAAATGATTGGATGAACAAATGAATAGATGGAGAAATGAACTGATGAACAAATGACGAAGTCTGTAACAATCTAACACTTTACCTTGTTAGCATCTAATGGATTATCACTTATTTGAACTACTGGACCAGGATGAGTTTTACAATGCCTGGGAGATTAAAACAAAAGATCTTTTTTGTTCAATATCAAGCATGCTTGCAAATTCATAAACTCATTCATGGCAGATATTGTATTTGCCTTTATGAATTATATTCCTTGTGGATACACTTACTGCAAACAGTGAAATAAATATTACTTGGTATGATGACAGACATTGTCCAAAATATTTTTATCAAGAGAATTCTAGATTTCTCTTGTAATGGACAAGGAGCGCAGCATATTGGAATGGAGAGAGAAATGTGTTCCTATGGGAACGAGAGGACTGGGTCCAGTATGCTAATGAGTTGTATATAATGTGTATCAAGGGATTGTGTAATCAGTGTGGTCCAAGCTTTGATTGACTTTTGAACTTTAGAGTTTTTGATGGTTGTATTACAGAGTGATTTACTGCGCTCAATGATAACTGTATCATGATTGTAGACAATGCTCACGTGTGATTAAAGTGTGGAGATTTGAGCCTGGACCCATCTAGGCAGATATATGTTGTGTTAGTTTATGAACTCGAGGGAACAGTAGGAACTGGTCTTTTTTTTTTGATATTAATAACTTTACTTATTACCACTAAATACTGTAGTATTGAATGACTAAACAATAGGAAAACAAGGAATTAGTATTTAACTTAGTACTATTTTGTACTATTTATGTTAGTTTCACTCCTTAAGTGTGTCTTCTCTATATGATTATTAAAAAGATGTTTTATCCCTGAAATTGTTTTGTTCACAGTAATTATTATAAAAACAGTAGCTTTTGCTTATTTATTTGGTAAATAATCATGCCATTGATGTTCGGCCCTGGAGTTTGTACTGTAATTCAAGTCCTTGTGAACTAATTGAGACACAAGTAGCCACGGTAAAGTTTGTAATCATATTACACTAAAATACAGCCAAAGGTTAAATACAAACTAAAAGAGGAAATCCTGGTGTGGTCTGGTTTTCTTTACAAGTATTTTTAATATTCTACTGTCATCACACTATAAAGACTGATGCTTCATTTTATAAATTTTCAAAAATATACAAGCTCACAAAAAAATTTAGATAATAGTTAATAATAATAATTTATTCTCTACTCTCATTGGTTAAAAATGTTATGGGAGAGTGCCTGTCATGGAAGAAAATTTTGTCATTGAATAAATAAATAAACATTTTGTGCATTCTGCTGAGATAGTTACTCTTGGGAAACTAGATTTTCCTCAAGGCATCATATAGTCGTCCATGAACTGAGTTTCAGGCGACTATTTCTTATTTGAAACATCCAGTTTCAGYAGGAAACTATCAACAGCATAATGACTGATTCAACTACTCTGTTGTTTAGGTAGAGGCTTGATTTATGATTAACTTTTATAAACTATGGAGATATACTTACAATTCTATAGCTTTATTCCAATTTATTGTGTACCCAGACACCACAAATCTCTCTATATTAACAATATGAGTGTTGCCTTTTTCAGTGCCAACAAACAGCCATTTAGACGTGAATGGAAGATGAAGAGCTGTTATTCTAAGTAGAAAAAAACAATAATACTGTATATTGTATTATTCAAAACATTTAAGACATACACCTACTTGCAGAAACGTTGTCATAGAAAATAGAACATTCGAATTTAGTAAAAACGAATAAATTAAAACAAAACAAAAGAAAGCGTTCAGCCTCAGTGACCTTCTTTTGTCTTTATAATTTATTCCTTTTTACTAAAATACAAATGTCCTATTTTTTTATGACAACGTTTTCGCAAGTAGGTGTATACACAGGAAATAATTTAGTAATATTTGCAAAAATTATATGAAGCTTAATTGGCAAAATATAAACCAAGGTTTGTGATTAGCTGTTTTCATCACAAAATTCCACGACATTTCAAGTACTTTTTAAGCACAAAATTTTTTTCAGGGGCCATTCTTTATGATTGCCTTTTGATATTTCTTAACAATTCCAAACCTTTCAGGCTATAAATTTTACAACCCTCTTCACAATTCAATCAAAAATATTAAAATGGATGGCTGTACATAACATCAAATTCTAGCTGCAGTATCCCTGAAGTTTTAATGTTTTGCAGATTTTGAATATGAATTTATAAGAACGGAATTACTATTTCAGCTTCAAAATTAAAGATGGCGATTGTTTTACATTTGGGCTTTAACTAGGGGGAGGCTGACCCTACCCATGACCCTCCAGTTTGCTACACAAATGTTCAGTGACTTCTGAGCTGCTGTGAACCTTCTATCCCTGATATAATTACCTAGTACATCTTTTTGCTGATTACAATTAATTGTGATTTAATATCAATCCAAAAGATAATGTGTTTATTAAAATTAAGAGAATAGTAGCCATTGAAGGCWAAATTGAATTCATAATTAAGATAATAATTTTCTCTACCTTTCTCTATTGAACTTCAAAGACTGCACTATAACAGGCTGCGCTTGACGCAGGTTCCAAAGATGAATAGAGTCTTCTGGACAACAACTAAGCAACGCTCCCTATCGAAAGCCAAACAAAGGTATAATATTCAATCCATCAAAGGAGAATAAGCCAGTCGAGAATAAATTATCAAAAACAAAACCTATCAAACATAAAATYTTACTTAGAATATGTAGAGCTCAATTGTATAATAAAATCCTCCTTTGAGAGGTCATTAATGCGAGATAAAAGATAAGGTTTAATACTGCAAGATTGTTACTTATATGATAAATAAACAAATTAAAGTACTAAATGATTATTAATACAATGTACCTCATTACTCATGAACACAAGACTTCTGACAGGAGAAGGAGAATCATGCTGTACATGTGCTTCAATACCTGGCTTACCAAATCTTACTCTTAGTTAAGGTATTAATGATTCAAACTGTAGAATAAAAATATTTTCCTGTCTCACTTAGTGTGTAGAAAACCTATAGAGTCCCATTTTATCTTGGTGATTTTTGCAGCAATATTTGTGGTCATTTTTATCCTAGAGAATAACGCTAAAGAAATTTTAAATTTTTATTGAGTACACTGTGGTGGAAGTAAGGTGACTAAATGTCTCCTCCAAAGGATAATACAAAATATACCATATTTTTCTTCCAAATTTCTTCTGTTTCATCTTTTTTATGTTGCAAAACAATTTTCATYGCAAGATCAAAACTAGCAATGAAGATGATAACATTTTGCTTTGAAATACATTTAAAACAGTGGAACTCAATTCATCAAAACATATCTGTGTATGTCATAACATTGTATTGTTATTTTTGGGTAATGTACTTTTTTCCTCTTTTGATTTCTGAAAAAATTGAGCAATTTTTAAATAATGGCTTTTATGACCTCATAAAATTAAAGGCACATAGATTAGACAAAGAAATGATTAATATACAGAATTAAAGTATTAAAATTATTTTTTTCAATTAACGTAATCTAGACATGTATCTTAATATGCAAAATCAAAACGACCAAATTACATGTGAAGTGATTGTTTTTGTAGCTAAATTCTTTCGCTTTGTTTTGAAAGAATAACAGTTTGTGAATAAATAAGGCATGTAAAAAAGAGCCAGGAATCAATTGGGCGATATGTACAAAAWCTTTGTTTATAAGATTACTGTCATTTTGTACTTTTCGATTAAGGAAATTTGAATCTCATGAGGGCAAAAATGCAACTTGGGTACAAGTTGAATTCACCAAGACTGTTTGCAGTTTGAATACATCATCAAATCGCTRCTGTTGTTTAATAGTAAGCCTTGAAGTGTATTGGACATCAAGAGTGCCACAATGATTTTTTTAACTTGTGATGTTCAGTCATTTGTAAATAAAAATTGTTTGAACTTCTTGCTATTCTGCTCGCAGCTTGCAATGTCGGTGTAAAATGATCAACAAGAGTCGATGTCATCTTTCTGACACAAACATTGCCAACTGAGATAAAAGAACAATTGTACTTGAAAACGGCGGCCTTGAAATGACTCAAAGGTTTGGTTTAGGTATTTATTTAGTCAGGATTTTACAAGGATACATGCGAAGGCAGCCAGTGTACGTTCCAATAGCTACAACCCCTTGCACCGAATCCACAGCAACTGAAGTCGGCTGATATGGAAAACCATACCTACATGCCTAAAAAAAACACAAATTAAACACGACAAAAGCAGCAAGATATGCAGGTCTAAACATCTTGAATATAAGTGGTATTTAAATTAGTACTTAAATAAATCAAAAGATCGCCCAAGATTACCTTTGATACAGCAAAGTCTTGCGCTCGAAGTCGCTCACTTACAGGTTCCTCYTTKGMAGGYCGAGAACTGGTTGAGCGAACKCCAACCAGAACAGTGCGAACTTTTTTCATGGATTTAGCGTTTTTAGCATCAGCTTTGCGAAGAAGTTTACAACCATTTCTTCTTCATTCCTGTTGTACTTGCATCACTGCACATGCATTTGTCCGTCTGAACCCTCCTACAACCCAGGAAAGGACTGGAACCTASGACATTACAGCAAAACCTCATTAGTTCAAGCATCATGATTGGTTTCTTTTTGAASGTTCAAAATTCCTTGATCGATAAGTTTAAATTCAAAAGTCATTCTCAAAGAAGAAAAAAATGACATTCTTTCCGTATGTTTACCATAAGTTCTCAAAAATACGTTCAAAAAATATAATATAGAATAAATTCTATTATCAGCCTGATAAAAGTTAATCCAATCATGTCAACGTTTCTAATRGGTTATAAGTATACCTGATAAACACAGGCAGCCCAATATTATTAMCTTGTTTCAGCGTAACGACAGATTCCAAAGAAAATATCAATTAACTGAACTGAGTCACGCAAACCACAAAATATCTCTTTTGCTCTTTGAAAAGATGAAATTTGACAAATTTTACCCTGCACAAACAAACCAAAAGCGAATGCTGTTTTTGGAACCCCATACAAAAATAACAATTATGACGTAATKATATTTGGACTAATGATCCTTTGACGTCATCAGCATATACACATAAACAATAACACTTTCGTTTAAGATTTTTTTGACTTTTGCGGAAGTTTTTCTCTCAAAGCAGTGAAAATGCTTATATTTCAAAAAGGATTTAAAGTTAATTCGGCGTTTAGTTTATAACGGCTTAGAAAAAATAGTAGATGTTTTATGCATTAACATCAATCAATCAATCAATCAATCAATCATTACATGATCAATCAATCAATCAATCAGTGAATCAATCAATCAATAAATCATTACATGATCAATCAATCAATCAGTGAATCAATCAATCAATCAATCAATCAATCAATCAATCAATCAATCAGTGAATCAATCAACAAATCAATCAATCAATCAATCAATCAATGAATCAATCAACAAATCAATCAATCAATCAATCAATCAATCAATCAATCAATCAATCAGTGAATCAATCAATCAATCAATCAATCATTCAATCAAAAAATCCGTCAATCATTCAATCAATCAATCGATCAATCAATCGATCGATCAATCCAATTAGTGTCGTGCGCACATTTTTTTTACAATACGTCTTGACTACTATAACGCGTCTCATAATACCTACAGTCTAGAGAGCTTATATCGGGAATAATAGCAATATATAGCGCTGTCACCTATCGATCAACTGTGGTTTACACATTGCTGAATCCACACCCTTGAGATGCAGGAAATACAACTCACGTACTATACAGTCAGAGTCGTTACACGAATAAACGAATTGTTAGGTGTGTAATACAACTGTACAACAACGAAACTAAAAAAACAATTACAAAGAAAATGGCTATCTAGTTTGTGCTAGATGATCGAGAACAAAAGAAAATACATGAATGAGTTTGAAGTCGTTGAAAAATGCCTCTATAAGTTCTTCTGGTTCAAACTCGAAGTCTTCTAACTATTTCAGGGGCTAAGTGTAAATGCGTCCGTTTACAAAGTAAGGCTATTAAACCCGTGAAAAATARTTTAATAGATAGCCACAAGTATACGAGCAGGCGTCATTATGTCATTAGAGCCCGACGCAATCCTGTACCAGTGAGACTGTGAGCATAGGAGTGCCATTTGTAAGGTCGATTGACATGAACCGCAATAAAAATGTCAACAAAAACCGCATCAAAACATTCTTCTGTAAATAAATAATTGTAACAATACCGCTATAATCCATTAACCGTGAAGATCTTAAACTGTAAAACCGGTTTTCAAACTAGAAACCGCAAAACCGCGTGGAAAGAAATACTAAACCGCGTAACCGCAAAGTGCCACTGTTACATTTTTCCCGCGTGTACATTCTGCAAGCAAAAATAGACGTGCGAAAAACCCGCTTAAACAATGATACACAAATACATCTCAGTGTGTCTCTATGATCCCGGATTTTCTTCATGTTGGAAGACTCAGTCGGAACATGAATCCGAGGAGAGTATATGACAACGTCATTGAGGCGTCATTGGTTAAAAAACTGACATAATTCATAAAATTTAATAGCGCAGGGCCAATGGAGGGGAACTCACACCCTKCACCCACCAAATGGATATGATCCGCCATTTTACCACCACGCCTTTATATTGAGCCCACAGTCAATGTCAGCCTGGATGGAGATTCGTCACTGACCTATACCTTTTTTCAGATATTGTTTCGCCAGTTTACACATGCGATTTTTGCAGAGCGATTCTCGCGGCGATCGTCGCGCCCCCATCATCTGARTTTCGAACATGCTTAAAATTTAGCTGCAACTTCACAGCGATTTTCGACCGCTGCAATAATCGCAGGGCTGTTTGTACGTGCGATTTTAGTTGCGCGATAGCAAAGTAGCGAGAGTGCAAACGGGTCTTTAAAAATCAGTACTGCATCAGAAGATGTGTATGGAATACATAATTACAAGACTACATCATTGGAGGCAGGGTGGGCTGGTTGCCCTTAAACTTTAATAAATATCATTTTTTAAACCAAATTTTACAAACTTTACTTAGACAAAGGTAACATTTAAATAATGGAATTCACAGTGCACTACAACAACATTGGTGAAACACATTGACGAACATTGCACAATTAAAAAACAAGGAATTGTGTACCTATCTGTACAATTTTGTTCGCAAACTCAGATGTAGCAAATCCTCTCTATTCAAAGCTCGAAAATCATTTATGCTGTTACGCAATGCGGCAGTCAGGCATTGCGTTAAAACACAAATGAACGGCTTCTAAGCAGCTTTATAACTTGATAATCTAGCGATGTTCAATAAAAACAAACAACAGCAAGACAAATGGGTTTTGAAATCTGCAACTACATGACACAAGACATTTTACAGCTAATCCAATGTTTATCACTTGAAATACTGCATCAAAATAGTCACAACTACTTCATTGTCAACATCTCAAGTAAACTCTTGCCCCGTTCTACTGCTCATTATTTAGAAAAAAATTATCATTTATCAAAAAAATTTACCACGTGACAAAAATATAAATCTCAGCAGAATTATGATCTAATTATTAACCTTATTGACATTTTTCAGGGCATTTTTCAAGTAATATTTACATATTCTTAGATTAAAAGCTTATTTTTCAAAGGTTTAGATTGTTGGATTGTTTTGGGTTTCCTGTGCATATTTACTCTGTAGAGGGAACCAGTCTCTCTCTTGAGTGATTGACACAGCTATCCCATGATAAAGACAAACTTTGAAAACTGGATCCTGAGACAATCAGAGAACTTTGATAATAAGCACAGAATTTACAATTATTATCATTTGTCATGTTCAAAACCATARAGTATGTGTAAAGCAGAGGAACATAGTAAATATTCCAACATTTTGTATCTAGCTTCTGGTTTTGAATCAGACAACTTAAAAATGTTTGGTACTGCACAATCACTTGAACCATGCAATAGAAACTATAATAGGAACTTTTAGTTCCTGATAATCGTTATCAATGAGCCAAAAGAGTTTATTTGAGCCAATGAGCATTAGAGTCATTTTCATCCGTCTGTGAAACAATTACTACTAGTCAGTGTTGAATAGTAACTATTAGGGTGTAGTAGGCTACCAAAAGGCAAAATCAAAACCGTTTTTGCCTAATTTGCTTGTCGCATGTCATAAGTTAAACTATTCGGAGCTAATAGGGGGTAATAGTATTTAATAGCACAATATTCCTATTTCACAGACGGATGAAAATAACTCTACCCTAGAGACCACTATATAACAAGCAAGGTAATTTCTTTTCTTTATTCTTTGTACTGTTCTRGTTCAGTGATAGTGTCTAAATAGTGCCTTTTTGTTACTAAGTATTTAGTTTCTAATTCATGGTTCAAGTGACTCTGCTCTACTTCAAGACACTAGTTAGGATTAGATTAGTCAAGATGGTTTTTAATAGAAAATAAAGTTCTTTTTTCTTTAAACATACAGTGCAGGGGCATCCCCATCTACTCCCTCCCTCCTCCCCCCTGCAGTGCACATTAGAACTAAATATTTATAACCAGTTACACCAACCAGTTACCTGTTATACCTACATAACTGTTTTAGTTCAGACAAATTTCATTAATTTAAGTACAATTACCAGAGTGTTTAACCCCATAATCTTTGATAACTCTCCACAATGCCTACATTACCATTTTCTAGTTCATAACACTGTCAAAGACCAGATAATTGAGCAATAATTTTATCTCTCTTTAAGCGACATCAGARAGTGCAATCCCAGTGCCTTCGATAACTCTCCATAGTTTACTTTCYTCACTGTCAGGGTCATTGTCCCCCTCTGCTACAATGCCAGCATTTTCSAGCTTTTCTGCTGTGCTATTTTCGGTCTTTTGCATCAGGATTTCTGTTTGTTTCCAAAGTATTTCTTCTTCATTTGAATCCTGATGGTCTTCATTTGTAGTGGCTGAATTATGCTGCCTCTTGGAAAATACAAAAAAAATCTATCTTAGGAGGAACAGATATTACAGCATGGTGCAACTTATTGTGGCAATAAAATGTTTTGTACCAATTAAAAATCAACCAATCAAAAAAGGACAATTTGCCTCAAATGAAACACCTCTTCAATATGCCAAAAATAAAAAATACGATCAATCATTTSCTGATTCAGCATTGGAGAATTCAAATATGAATGATGAGTTTAAAAAGTGAGTTTTCTAAGCAATGACTAGCAGTGAGTAAACTAGTAAATAAGCTTATGTGGCTGCATTTTGGCAAATGGTTGAATTAGGGGCAGTTCACACTATGACAAAAGCACAAGCGCAAAGTGAGAACAGCTGAAAATACAAATGAATGATACCCTGCATGCTTCACAAGACATAAGCATAAGCATTGGTATAAGCATAGCAATAAGCATAAGGCCAAGCATCTTAAGCTAATTAACAACAAAAGGGCAAACAAAGAAAAACAGATTTCTTTTGTCTTCATTGTTTTTTGAGCTTATGTTAATGTTATAATGTGAACCAGCCCTTGCACTTAATAGCCAACTTTAGATATTTTGGTTCACTGTCCATGCACAAACAAATTACAGACGAGGCTCCGGGGAATTAAAAGAATAAATCAAGATTATCCATTGTTTTGCCGGAGCCTTGTGTGCATTATTTTGTACATAGTCATGGAACCAAAATATCTCAGTTGACTTTTTACCTACCACATCCGTGATTGCTTGTTGATTATGTCCATTCATAGATCCATTGGAAACACGATTGCTATCCTCTTCACTTCTATTCTCACTATAATTCACTTCACTTAAAGTTCTAGTCCCGCTATTTTCATCCATTTTTACTTCAGTTCTAGTTTCTGATATTCTAACAYGCACTTTGACAACAGAATCGCTATGTGAGGAAATGCCAGTGACTTCTTGTATTAGTTTTGGTTCTTCTTCAATGCTTTGTGGTATCATTTGAGTATTTTCAGTATCAACATTTTCATTAGTAAATGTATTTTCTGTTTCTAGTGGTTTTTCAACGTCCATAGTTGCATTTTCTGTGCTATCAGGTTTTTCTAGTGATAATGTCGGAGATTCGTGTCCTTCCGTTCTGTCTTTTACTTTCTGTAATAGTTCTGTGACTTTTTTCTTTGTGTCTTCGGCATCAATGTCCTTTGATTCCTGATAATTRTAAACAAAAATAAATGAAGAAAAGAAATACATATTATGAGATTAAATAACTTAATATAATATAACTTGAACTTTATTTTAATTTTACACTTTTTTTTAAATCTCACTTTGAGAATAATATATTAAAATCTCCACATCATGAATTGTTAAAAGATTTTGAGCCCAGGCTCAAAAGATTGCAGAGACAAATCATAGGACATGGGCATGCCTAGTTCTACAGATATGCCTTTAAATGGTACTAATTATTATTGTACCTTAAATGTCAAGTCACATGTAACATGTTGTATCATTAAATGTAATAAATTTACAACTGGTAACTTGTATCATCAAAATTTGACAACCAAATTTTGTTATTTCTAATAAAGATTGAACACATTACAGGAAACTAACCTGTGGAGGTGTCTCTAGTTTAGTTTCTGYTGCATCAGGATTGGGAGATCCAGTCTTGGCTTGTCTTGTACGCGCCATGATTTCCTCAACTCTCTAAACGTTTGCAAATATCAACATTATAAGTAATCATCATCATAATTTATTAATCATTCGTCATCATCATCATAATTAATCTTTAAATCTTTAAATAAATTAATTGCCACTAGCAAGCTAATCCGGCAATGGTAATAAAAATATTAAATAAATAAAGTCTTTTGTTTTGAGAGGGTAGCACGTAATAGTCTCTAGACTAATAAACTTGTGGCCCTCTATATATTCTCTCATACTCACTACCTCAACATTCATTATTTTACTACACGACATTCCTCACAGCTAGTTTTTGACTGAGGGAGGAAAACCAGCGGACCTGGAGAAAAACCCTCGAAGCAAGGAAGAGAACCAGCCTACAAACTCAAATCACATATAGTCCCGGACCGGGAATCGAACCAGGACCACAGCGGTGATAGACCGGCGTTTTAACCGCTCGGCCATCCTTGCTCATCAATCATCCATCAACATCATCATCATAATTAATCATCCATCAACATCATCATCATAATTAATCATTCATCATCATTATATTACAAGCCTTAATACGAGCAACTCATAAAGACTATATTTAGATTCTGACAACTCCAAGCCAATTGAAAAATAAGCACCCTCCCATGCAGGTTATATTATTATGAGACGTCACATGCTAGAGATGCAGTAATACAGCACCAATCAAAACCTGTTCTTTGATTGCTGCTTAAGTACAGCAGCTCTATTGTTAGGTTAGGTTTTGTATTATTGTTGGAAGACTTATCTATTGTTTGTCCATATTGTTGTATCAACCTATCATGAGAGCCGTTCCAATCACTGCTGACTGGCCCTAGAGATGTTGTGCTGAAAAGACCCAATACAGAATAAAACTGCTAACAAGTTTCTAGAGTTGACCTGGCTCATATTTTTCACTGACTAATATTTGTCAAAGGCCAAATACAGTAATATTTAGTTGCTCTTGCTAAGACATGGAATTCAGTGATTTAAAATGTTGATTAATATATTATTTCTGAGCTTATCCCCTAGTTTGTTTTCTAATGAAAAAAACATTTGAAATACATGACCTTGACATCCAAGGCCTTTCAAATAATTTCAAATTTTTGGAATCATATTCTAACTCCTGGGAAACTAGACAAGTAGTAAAGGTAGTATTTTCTTTAATTGATTCTAAAGCTTGGATAATTTTTACCATTTTATAGTCATTGACATTTTGCCAACTTTTGTTTATATAGCTGGCATAATTTTGAATAAATTATATAACATGTAATACATATTATTCAATGCAAAATTTGAAGAAAACAAAACTTGAATGAATTTGTAATTCCATTTATAGAGAGTTGAGTGATGGTTTTGCAAATGTTATGTAGATTAGACAAGGGTGATTTATGAGGCCTTTATTATTACCATAAGAACATAATCATTGGGCTGTATCCMAATGTGTTTGCAGCACTAGTCATGCAATTCCTTTTCTAAACTGTATTCTTGACTACAAAGCCTTAGGAATCAAAAATCCTGTACAGATATACAAATATAGTGCTTATACTACATAAATGAAATAAAATATAGATGTTATGTTTATGATTTACTCAACTACTGTGCAAGTTAGTTGATGTTATGACTAACAGACTAAAATGTTGTGTTGGCAGCAATTGTATGGCTTCCTGTGCCCTTAGGGCATAATCTTTATTACACTTCAAATAAAATGGAGTTTACTTGATGTGAGCCAGGGATTGCAACTTAGGCTAAACAAACATCTTTTAACTCTCCTGTTCMGTTTTGAAGGTGATATTGCCAAGAATCAATATAAACATTGCATGTTTTAAGAATAAAATATTCATATACAAGCTCAAGGTCAGTGTACTGTGCGAACCTATTTGATCCAGAATTTCAAATCTACATTACATGGAACAGAAAACATATCTTTCTAAATATTATAGTGAGCATATTKAAGTCTGAAAAATAAGTCACAGACTGATAAATTCTATTTTTATTACCAAATAATTATTTTTTGGCTTTTGAAAATTATGTCCTCAGTACTAAAAAAAAAATTTCCAATGTACAGTGTATGTGATTGTGCACAATAATAGCTCACACGATAATTATTACGGATTGTGATGTAATCTTAACGGAGTTGTTGATTGAATGCCTCATATAAACATTAATTGATTGAAGAATCTCTCACTTACTAGTTCCCTAATAATATGCTTAAAATTCAAAGGAAGCAATGGTGAGATATTCACTAACAAGAAGTATTGTGTACAACAGTGACATTGATAATTAAAAAACTGTCTTATTGAGAAGTAATTGGAATATTGTTTTCAAATTGATCTAGATTGACTAGCATAACATGTTCACAAAGTATAGAAACTATTTTATTACTAATGGTTGAATATAAGTCTAAAAATAACATATAAATACTGACTAAATATATACCAAAAATGAATTGGGTTTAAGGGATCTTATCAATACCTTAAAGATAAAAATAAACGAAAAATTGATAAAATGCAAAAAAGATAAGAAACTAGTCTATGACAAGGATAAAATGTAAGTTGAATTTCTAAAACTACTGAATATAAAATCCTTCTTAAAACATATTTAAATCATGATATTTAGTTGTTATGCTGGACTTTGGYCATGTCTAAGGAATAATTGCATAATTCATTTATAATACATTATATTGTACAAATATTACTTAAAAGTCCTTTTTCACATTTAGCATAAACCCCACTTAGTAACTTAAAAAATTCATCTGTACTGTTTGTAGTTAATTTCAAATTTCATATGAAGAATTATTGTTAATGAACAAAACGTATAATCTCATTTACTTCTTAATATGAACTGAGGTTGCTGTTCCATTGAATTCAAAAAATGAGGGACCATAAAATTATACACAGTACAAATGATCTACATTGTGCTTGAGGAAAAAAACATGTAATAATCATGATTTTTTTAAAAATAATAAAAAAACAATTGCATACCCTTCTCCTCTCTTGTCTTTCCTTTTCTTCTTGTTTTCTTCTTTCCTCGTCTTCCTTTGCTTTTTTCTCAGCTTCAATTTTAGCAAGTCTTTCTTCTTCTTCTTTCATTTTTCTTTCTTCTTCGCGTTGCTTYTCTTCTTCAGCAAGTCTTGCAGCYTCTTCTTTATCTTTTTCTTCTTTTTCAGCAATAGCCCTTTGTAATCGTTCTTCTTCTTGTTGSTTTAACATCTCKGCAAGTKCTCTCATCCGCTCTTCTTCTTTAGCTARYTCTTCAGCAATTCTCTTYTCTTCTTCTTCTTTCTTCCTRCGTTCTTCCTCCTGCCTTTCAAGGTCAAGTTTTGCTTTGCGYTCRGCCTCTTCTCTTGCCTGTTTYCKTCTTTCTGCTAATGCCTGCTTGGCAGCGGCCTCRTCAAGCATTCCAGCCTTTGGYTTTTCTTGTTTTGGGGTATGTTTCTTTGTTGTGTGTGCAGGCTTGTCAAAATCGATTCGRTGCAAGGCACTKGTAGATTGAGCYTTTTTGACTCCTACTCTACTAGGTGCTAATGATGTGTGACTTTTTGAAGCTGTCAATTTACTGTCATCGGAATGTAACGATGATGGTCGTCTTGTAGATGCTGATGGTGCTTTATATAAATTACTTGTACTAGCTCTACGATAGTCATTTACATTTCCACTTGAACCTGCTTTAGAGGCACTTAAWAGGTTTTTAGGGTTGGTTGTGGGTGATTGTCTGGGACTTGAGTCTGATGATAAGCTGGAGCTTGACCKTGCRGGGCTCCCTAGAGTCTTTTTGTCACCCCCTGAAGATTTAGGAGTAGTTGGGGTTTTCAGTGATTTAGGTAGAGCCGAGGGTCTAGTGGGGGTTGGCCCTGCAGTWGAGGGTCTCTTTGGACCGTCTGGCAAGGTTGGAAGTTTGCGTCCTGACCCTGGTCTATGTATGGCAGCCATTTGTTTTAACTGCTCCCATTTTTGYTTCTCATCTTCTTGTTTCTGCCTCCTTCGTTCTTCAAAGGCAAGCCTTCGCTCTTCATTTTTTCTTTTTCTTTCTTCGACTTGCTTTTCGCGTTGTTGTTTGACCTTCTCTTGGCGAGCTTCTATGGAGATTGAAGTTCTGTTTACACTATCCGCCGAAGCTGACCTACTTCTAGGAGTACTGCGTGTAGCACTTTGAGGTCTGGATCTCGAATCCTCGGGCTTCGATGCTAGGCTGTGYCTCTTGGTAGTTTTGGKATCTGATTTGGGATTAGTTTTGGCAAGGCTTGATGCGGTTTCGCCGGCTAAAAGTAGATTAAAAAACAACCTCAGCAATGGCCTCTTCGCTCAACRAAAACACCTAAACCACAGCACTAAGCTACTTCATTTATACCTGCACATCATAACTTACGTTTTTTAGCCTTTAAACYATCCACTGSTATTGAAGTTTCTTTAGTTTTTTTAGAGTCGGCCATTTTCACTAGGTGTGYCGGTGAAACATTCAAGTCAAATTTCGTACAATCTCAACCGTTGTTTATCGTTTTAACAAAAATATATGTTTTTTCGTGAGTCTGCCTTGAAGTTGAAGTGCTTTTCATGACCCTGGGAGGTTACTTTGGTGATTTTTTCATGGTGTAAACATGTACAAGTTTCTAACGCCAAACAACCAAAAAATTGAACGAAATACTGTGTATCGATGCAATATTTCTAGTCATCTCGAGATTGACCAATCAGATTCTCCCGTATGTACCACGTGCTCCTCATTAGCTGAAAATTGCGGGCTCATATTTCTCATTGAACCTCCATTTTGAAAACATTAGGATTTTTGTAGTAAATTATCTTATTATTTCTAGTGTCTACTTATTTTTACCCTCTAAAAAAGCTTTTACTGTGTCATTAATTTCTAATATGCTTATTTTCAAAGCTGRATGTTTTGAATTTTTGTGGCTTTCATGAAAAATATATCRACCAATCAAAGACATGTCAATAAAAGGATTTKMATAAATTTACATAAATTATTTACGCTGTGCTGAGAACTGCAGGCTCATRCWGYTTAGGCGCCATCTTGGATCAAACTCGTGCATTGTGAAAACGTTTGAAGTYTATTGAGTTTTTGAAAACTTTAAACTGGTTATGGTYTAAGTTAGCATGGAGACAATACTAGAACAGCAAAGACGGCTTCATGAGGAGCGCGAAAGGCTTGAAGATRCWATGACAAATGACATGCTTCAAAAAATAAACAAGAAATCGACGGTAAAAGATCTTTAACTTTATAGATTGTATAAAAATTGATAAAATTTGCAGATGCTCACTTACTTTATAATGCCAAATAACTGAAGATTTATATGTACGGCAGGGAAAGGAAAGAATCAACGTCGATCATCGCATACGGACTTTGCTTGAGGTAAAGTGCATGTACAGTAGCAAAAGACCGGCACATTCTCATCTTGAAAGAGTCGAAACTAAGTTTATAAACTTACGTGCTTTAATTTTACTTTTAGAGAGCTGTGGAAGTTGCTGATAATGCCTCTAAGCTTTATGAAGATAATGATGGGTCAGTACATCGACATAAACTCACAATCATATTGACATTAAAAAAAAACTTCAACTTACTTTGAGACCGACAAAAAAGGGACACTAGCTTAAATTGTATATGAGGTAGCACATGATAGCATTTAAATAGCTAAATTAAAAGACTTGACTACAAGTTCAATATATACTGCTGACAGCACTATATTGGCCAAAACAGCTGTCCACAGTTTTGAGTTGAGATAACTCACAATTGTCTTAGAAAGACCCACTGAATGACTTTTGAAGTCATCATTTCAGTGTCCTTAGTAGAAAAAAAGTAAACAGCTGTTTTAGCAGAAGTAGTAGCGCATTTAGACCGTTCAGACACAGATATCAGACACAGCTATAGACAGCCTTTGAGTGACAGTGTATACATAGTACAGTGCAAGTCCTATCTAATTCTTGATTTATTGCTTGTTTTAGGCTTAGAAAGGAAGAAGTTCATGCCTTATCAGGACCAAATGAATTTGCRGAATTCTACAGCAGACTGCGAAGCTTGAAAGAATATCACAGAAAATATCCTAACGAGGTATTTCAATTTATTAACCATACGTAATATACGAGGTATTTCATTTTATGAACCATGCGTAATATACAGGCATGTCGTAATTATGCGCAGATGCACATAATTGTCCCCTTTCTGCATAATTTACACAAATGTGGTAAAAATAATGTTATACAACCAACCAATGGCAATCTAATGTACATGCTATTTTCAAGATTGCAGAGCCAATGCAGATGGAGTTTCTAAAGTTAAAAGACAGCGATCATGGTGATGAAAATACAGGTAAAAGACCATAGAGGGTTTATTTTTGCACTG